ATATTTTGTTTCTTTTTTCCTTAGGTCAAGAAAGGGTCAAGGAAGGCAGGGAAAATACAGTCCAGGCAGTACCAGGCAGTCTGAAGACTCCCAATCCACTCTCTAAACGCTGGGAGGCGTGAGGAAGCAGACAGGCTCCCTTTTCACTGGCCAACAGTTAACTGAAAGTTCACATTTTGCACTTTCCCTGCCTCCCACGTGGGTTTTTTTCAGTTCTTAACTCAAATCTAAGTACTTAAGTCAAGTCAATATTTTCCTATGAGAGTGGTTCTTAAGTCAAAATGTTCTTAACTCAAGCTGTTCTTAAGTCAAGACCCCACTGTACTTGTAAGTAGACACAGGATTACATTCTTTGAATGAAATACAAAATCCCAAAAGTAACAAGATATCCTTTGCCTCTCAAACCCTGTGCTCACCAAAATCTGCTCTGGAGGGTTCCACCCCTCACAGGCAGATCTTAAAAGCGGAAGTAATAATCTGACAGAATTATATATTTACAGCACGACTGCTATACAGGTTGAGTCTTACTTGCCCAAGACTCATTTTCCTAGACTTCAGTCTTAGTGCCATTTTATAAGACATAAGCAGCTCTCTCGTGAACAATCCAGACAGTGCCCAGTCTTGTTTAGTGGAAGATGTCTGTCCATCTACCCCAACACTCTGTCAACTTTCTGCTAGTTACATATGAACAACACCCTGCATGAATAATACAGAAATACACATGATTCTGATTGTTACCTCAGTTGGAACTTTACACAATATAGCCTGGTGTTAATATTTAAACAGAGAAAGTAGAGTGAAGTAATTCCTGGAAACACAAGTCCGCAGCAGCTGTCAAAAGTATTTTCCCACAAGGAGATTGATTCAGAAATCAGCAAAGTTCTCCTGCCTTGAAACATATGGGTTACATACATAGAACCAACATTCCTTCTCCCGCACTATTCCTCAAGCCTCGAGTCTATTTTTACAGAGACAACATCTCTGAAGTTATGCTCCAGGTCTCTAATTCAAGGTCACGTTTTGCTCTGAACAACATAGTTTTATACTCCAGAGACAGGAGAAAGAAGCAAGTTATTTCCCTAGTTAAAATTCAGTCAGGCTTCCACCAAACAGGGTAACAATTGTTAGAAAGTTATGTTTCAGCTCCCAGAGGCAGGTATTAGTTTTATTTTCCTTCACTTGTTAACACACTGCTTCTACGCTACTACTTGGCTAAAGAATGAGAGCACAGCAAGGTTTTGTTACAAGGGACATACTGTTAGCGTCTTAAAATTAAGACCTGACTTCATTTCCAGACCATGTAGTATTCTTTTGTTTCTCTTCTTCCTTTGGGAAGCTCACAGTTGTGGCATTTAGACCTCAAAAAAATAAATTAGAATGAGACTTGCTTGGCCTTAGCAGGGAAAGAGCACTGTGTTTTCTTCAACTATTCTCCACGACCCAATCACCTTTTAAAAAAACTTTACAGCATCAAACCTCCAAAGAATATTGGTTAGCTGCTTGGCATCCAAGGGAGCTCTTGTTTACAGAAATGTGAAGTCTCTGCCCAGAAAAAAAACAGCTGATGAAGATACTTCCTACAACATTTTATCTTGCAAGAAAAGATATTAGGATTGGTCATTCAGTGCACAAATATACTGTAGTTCTCAAAACTGGAACTGTTTGCAGATGTCAGAAGGAGACCACATTCCTCCCTGCACATCACAATATAGAAGAACAGGCTTGACAAGTTCCTTTTAATGATGCTCTGCCTCCAGATACAGGGCTCGCAAAGTACTGTATAGGTTCCTATTCCAATCCTATTGAGAAGTGTTCCTGTCTCTGCACATTTTAGCTAGCTTCAGCCCATAACTATGCTAACATCATAAGATACATAACTATAATCACTAGGAACTGTCAATTTATCAGGTAGAAGTTTCTTCCTTTATAGCAGAGGGTCCTGCGGAGAGGTCAAATTGACCCATTTGGCTACAGCGGATGGTGCACAACTTCTTGAATCACAACTCTCTGTATCTGTGACATCACGGAATATAGGACCATCCCGTGATCTCACAGATTTCACATGAAACATGCACGTTTGGGTATAGTTTGTGTTCCAATAAATGCATGCATTGTGGTTAGCCAACATAACAATTTCTCTGCCCAGTCTCTAGTTTGAAGGTACAGCCACTTTGCTGCTGTAAGGCTGTTTAAACAGCATATGGTCAACTTCAGAACTAGAATGGAACATTTTATGTGTTGATTGCTTTAGAATTATATAAGTAAAGCCCTTCTATACAAAATGCTGCAAGAATAATTAAGACATTGTTCCCCCCATGTCTGGTTAAGCCTCAAGAAGGTAGCTTGACCCCTATTCATACAACAAGATTAAACCCCCCCTTATTGCTTTCTGACATAATTTATTCATTCATTGCTTTAATAGTGAAAGCAATACTTCATTTTGTAGCAACAGGTAGTTTCCCAGAAGACTAAAAATTCAGAGCAATAAGCCTCACACTCAGGTCTGCTACAGCTTTTCTATCCTCCACAATTAACCTTATGCATAAACTAAACTGTAGCTCATCATATCATAATTGACTGGTACTTTGAGACACGCACATTAGTCACATGTTCATGGCAACAACAAATGTTTGGAGGCTGCACCATATAGCCACCACCTTTACGCTTATCCCTTCTTTAACCCTGCCACCACCTGATTTATATAAATTTGAGAACTAAAGCTTCACAAAGAGAACAGAGAAAGATGGGTCTCTTGCAACTCCTTAACAACCACATACAGCATACTTTTTAAATGGACCAGAAAAATAGATATACTGGTGTGATACAGGTTATAAGTAACTAGGGTCTCCATGGATCTAGTGAAGTGAACCGCAGTCCACAGAAGAGCATTCTATAATTGTTTTAAAAGTGCCACAGCACTGTTTTTTTATGCAGACTAACTCAGCTATTCTGACTTTTGAGTTCAATCTACTTACACACATTTTGACCTAGAAACTGTAAGAATGATTCCAGATACACACGCCCATCTATCGTGAGTTGACTAGCACAGCAGAAACTAGATAAGGATCCAATGATAACCCTAGGCAATTTGCAATAGGCTGACAAGGATTACACTCCTAACTGCCTTAATAACAGCAATAATTAAAGCTTCCCCAACCTCTCACATGAGGCTGATAAAAAAAAGGGAGACCAGGAGTGGATTTGTGCATGAAAAGCTTTATTGTGACCTCAGTCATGACCCTAATCACAAATTACTGGGGTGACCAACTCTGAGATACTATGTCCCTTAATTCTTAGCATATGTCTCTGCCTGTTTTGCTATTCCACACTTGGCAGACCTCAAGATTCAAAACCAAAACAGAATTTGAAGTCTGACTTGGCCTGGCCTTATGTCTGAGGTTAAACTAAATAGTGTCCACTATTCCAGGAAAAACTTGGGAGAAAGGAAGTTCCCTTCAGTGCAGAAGTGCAACAGCCTAACACCAACAAGGAAAAAAAGTACATATCAAATGCTGCAAATCAAAATGAGACACTATCAATGCTGCACGGTTAGTAGACCGAAATCTTTACTACTCTGCATAAATTTCAGAAGATCTGTTAAGAGCACAAAGCAATACTGCAGTAAGTTAACATGTTACTCATCTGTGCCTCCTCTCTGCAGAACTAGTACACACCCAGGAGCAAGATTTATTTTTGCTGGTCCACACATTATTCTAAGTAGAAAGTGGTAAAGCAACAGGCTGTGCTTTGACAATGCCTTTTGAAAGGTAAAATACTAGCTATGAGCCACAATAACTTTTTTAAAAAAAGAAAGAAGACTGACGAAAAGATTAGCCTGATACACCTTAGTGGAAAAGCAGAGAAGGCTTGAAAAAGGCTGAAGTCAGAGGCTGGGTTTTTATTCAACAGTGCAAACCCTTCATGCGCCTCCAACCTAGAAACCAAAGTCCTGCGGCCAAAAGGAAGTGGCTCTACCTGCTGGGAGGGAGGCACCTCAGGAAATCCTGTCTGAGCAGGGCCAGCCATTTCTCCACTTTCCCATGATTTAGGGTTTGGGCCCTGCTAGAGCGCAGCGCTGGCCAGAGAGAGAGGTCGGCCGGCTGGGAGGACACCGCGAACACGGGGCGGCGGGGGGGGGCGGCGGCAGCTGAAAGCGCCAGTGTCCTTCCTTTTGGAGGAAACTGGGAACCTGCACGCTCTCGCCCCCGCGGGCAGCTGCTACTAAGGAGAAGCACCGAGAGCTCCACACGGCTTAGGCCACCGCTTCGCTTTGGCGACCGCCTGGGCGAGACTTCGGTGACTCCCAGGTCGCCGGCTCAAGCGCCCGGCAGGTAGTAAATCACCACCACCACCGCCACCACCACCTCGTGTTGCCCAGAGTGACGGGCCGGGCTGCCCC